TTTTTTTCGTTCTTGCAATTTCTTTATAACAGATTTATTATGAAAACAATTACATTTAGACGATATATGGTGCACGATTACCATTGCTACATAATTATCATTCAGAAACCTAAAATTTGCAACAAGAATTAAAACAAAAAATATTTTCGAGCGCGAACATCATACGCCCTTTTGATAGGTGCACTCTGATGACGTGCAGTCAGTGTATGTTGAATACAATGTAGGATTTATTTTCCTTCAATTATAATTATTGATGCTATCTTATAAGTCGTCAGAATAACTTCCAAGCTCACTATTAAAAATTAATTACAGGTAGTTCGAGATTCACACTAATACCACGCACCAGCACAAACAGCATTCTTCTACTAGGTTAAATAAGTTGTGTTGATAGAATATCTACCCTTAATAAATCATCTACCATATCACGAATAAACATTCATGGACGTCTGCCTTGAGCTGAATACGAGCTCCAGTAGCAGAAAAAAGACGTAAGGTCTTAACGAATATAAAATGTTCAGCGAACATGATTGAGCTTATGCACAGTAATAGTTTTTACCGTGGATGTGATGCTTAGCTCGAATATATGCGATGCCTTTTATCACACAAAAATAACATCATTGGTGAGCGAGCGAGCTTGAACAACATAGAAAACGAGCGAGCTTGAACAACCAGATAACGGCCGCCTCCAGGAATATGAAGAGGCGGAGGCTGGATCATCTAAAGGAGAAAATTAAGGAAACTGAGCGACAGTTGCAAGACTCACACGAGGCCGAGCAACAAATTGCGGAGGCGCAAGCGGTGTCTGCCATTCGAGAGAATCCCAAATATTTCTACAAATATGCCCAGTCAAAGGCCAAAATCAGAGCCTCAGTTGGGCCTCTGAAAAATAACGGTGTCCTTGTTGGAGACGACCAGGGCAAGTGCGTACTTCTGGGAGCGCAATTTAAGAAAAGTATTCAGCGAACCTCGATACTCAAGACAAGAGAACGAAATTTGAGTCATTCAAGAACTTCCAGGGGGGCGGGAGCTGATGAACATTGAGTTTGAAACACCGGATCTAGAGAGGAGTATCCAAGAATTGTCTACGTACTCGGCTCCCGGGCCAGATGGGTCCCTGCAGTATTACTGAAAAAATGTGTCGGTGCACTGAAAGTCCCTCTGACTTTGCTCTGAAAAACATCATTAAGAGAAGGAAATGTTCCAATTGACCTAAAATTAGGGATAATAACCCAAATCTACAAAGTTGGTGCGAGAGACAAACCCCAAAATTACAGGCCGGTAACATTAACATCGTACGTAATCAAAGTATTTGAGAAGGTTGTTGCAGAAGGTTGGTGAAGTACATGGAAGAGGCTGACCTTTTCAACAGAAGACAACACGGTTTTAGACAAAATCGTTCCTGTTTGTCTCAGCTACTGGAGCATCACCACCAAATCTTGGCCATGCTGGAGGAGGGGGCCGGGGTGGACGTGGTGTATTTGGACTTCGCGAAAGCGTTTGAAAAAGTTGACCATGGAGTGCTCTTCAGAAAATTACTACTGCTGGGGGTCGGAGGTAAATTGCTGTCATGGATCCACAGCTTCCTAACAGAAAGACCACAAGCTGTAGTTGTAGGAGGCTCGAGATCGAGCGAAGCTAGGGTGAAGAGTGGAGTACAACAGGGAACGGTACTCGGCCCAATCCTCTTCCTCATTCACATCGCCGACATAGATGAGGCTGTGAACCACGCGTCTGCATCGTCATTCGCGGACGACACCAGGATACTAATGACCATAACGGAGAGGAGGGACTGCGAGAGGTTGCAAGAAGACCTCTCTGCAATGTATAACTGTGCCCAAGTGAACAACATGCAGTTCAACGGGACCAAGTTTGAGGTTCTGAGATACAGTGGTAGCAGAAGAGCTGGTATGGAGCACCGCTACCTACCACCTGACAACTCGGAAATCAAAGAGAAGCGACTCGTTCGTGATNTATAGAAGCCTCACTGAAACCAAATCTTGTTTGCACGATTTTTTATGAGGTTGGCAGCGAATTCGCTTATATTGGTGGTACCTATTGTATAATTTAAAATCTTGAATATTGATACTGACCATATCTGTTTAAAACAGTACTATATCAACATACCATGTATAGAAGTAGAACCTGGAGTTTCAATTTGTTGTTTTATTTTTAGTTTTCTCATTTTAACTTCCAAATTCAATTTTTATTTCAAGCAAATGATCAAAAATATACTTCTAAAATAATTCAGTGTCAATAAGATTATTGCTAAGATTTTCACGTCTAAAGGTGAAATATATAAAGGTGATAATTTGATATATACAAATTATGATTAACGTGCGATATAATTTATTAATACGCCAGAAAACTATTAAAAAAACTAGCATACAGGAACTAAAATAAAAAAATATATAAAAGGCATAGAATGCATACCATGACAAGCGCATAAATTCTACATTTAATTAAAGTATTCAAGATGCGTTACCCTATACTTTGCCTATAGAGAAAGTAATATTCAAGTGCGCATGGATGCGACCAATTCCTCAATCGCCCCTTTATTGTGAGAAAATCTTGATTTCTCACCGATGATAAATCTTCAAATCCCTTCGAATTTTTCTAAAATCTCTAACGATTAATTCTAAACACGCAATGCGCTTTTCTTTCGTTTGCCTGGGCGGGCAAGCCGAAGTTGGGGGCTTGCAGGTGGTCACTATGGGCTGTTCATTGTATACGGTTGCCAAAGGTGGTCACTGGTCGGCTCATTAAATTTTCAAATTGTATGCTCAATCTCAAGCTCAATATTCTCAAAGAATTGAGTATTCCTACCGTTTTTCCTTTACTCCTGGTTCCCTGTTCCTTATTTTGTGTTAATGCCATGTAATTTTTTTTTATATTTTGTTTGATGCTTAACAACTATGCTTATTTTACTTCTGTAAGAAGTTGGACATAGATTTAGATTACTTTAAATTGTACCTTCTGAAGGAAAGAACTATATATCTATTTTAAATTCTATATCAAATCTATATCAAAATTCTATGTGTAATTTTAGTTTCGAACCAGATAAAGGGTTTGGGCATTTCACGCTCGCAGTTCGCCCAATACTGCAATGGATTGTTTCATCATAATTCAAGTCTTTACACTTTTTTCACGCCCAGATAAACCTCTGGCTATTCTCACTGTCTTCTTCCGTCCAGGTTCCTACTCCTCTTCCAACTATATTCCTAAATTTAAACCTTCATTCATTGCAACCAAGAAGTTTTCACACTGGGCATTAAAAACCTTAAGGCTGGTTGCTTAGTCCAGCCTCAATTTATCTATCAGTGTGCACATACACTGCCAGTTCGACGTGTGGTTGGAGCCTAATTAAATTTACATTTTCTCCTCTTAAGCATCTTCACTTTGCATTGGGACAGCTGCAGTCGACGCTCCTTGGACGTACTCTATTAATTGCCGATTCATTGCGCCAACCCACGCCGCCTGAGCACCTGAGAGCCGACCAGGAGCCATAAAATAGACCATGCTCGCAACCGATCTACATTATAACAGCAATTGAACTGCTGTGCTGCTACAAGAGTGGCAGTTGGCGTTTTTTTTTTGAGGGGAGCGTCTGGGCAAGATTTTTGGATTTTGTTTTTTTTTCGGTTTATATACTCATCTTAAAGCTTACATTCTGACGCATCCAACGGTACCAAAACCATCAAACCATCTCTGTACGTTGATTTATGCGTTCACTACAGATTCCGTAAGGCAGGGAGGTGTCCGGGCCCCTTTAGTAAAGTTAAGGCGGAAATTACCCGGCCGGGCACCATAAAGGGGATCGTCTGACGTAAAGCAGCCAATATTATGACATTCTCCAGTTCTTATTATCATCTTAAAGCTGCTTTTCTGACGCATTCAACGGTACCAAAACCATCTCTGTACGTTGATTTATGCGTTCACTAGAGATGCCGAAAGGGAGGGGGGGTGGTGGGTTCTTTAACAAATAAGATGGGCGATAATTAGCCGCCGAGAGCACATAAATAGTGTATCTGGCAAGCTACAGCTCAGTTGCCCTCTTGTTGTCGCACGAGGAGGTTTGCTAGCAGTCGCTCCCACCATCCTTGACTGGAATTAAGCTTCAGTAACGCTTAGTTTGGTAACCTTGCTACATTGAGTGGCTATCCGATGCGCGCTTGACTTTGCCGCGCGGTCCTGAAAAGTTAACTTATTGTCACGGCAGACCTATCTCCTCATAGAGTTTTGAAGATACAGCGATTAGACATATACCATTCGATTTGCAATTAAAATATCTATCGATTTATCGTAGCTTTTTTTCGAATTTCGTTATAGTTTTGAAAATATTTTGAAAAAAAAGAGGGCGGAAATTGAGAAAAAAGCGAGAAATTTTCGAAAATTTGGGGAAAAATGCTCCCACCTCCACAAAAATTCGAAATTCGAAAAAAATACGATAAATCGATGGATATTTTGATTGCGAATTGAATGGTATATGTCTCATCGCTGTAACTTCAAAACTCTAGGAGGAGATAGATTTCAACAGTACCCCCTTTTTTGGCCGTTTTCTAAGAATTTCACGTTTTCTTTCATTTATTTTTGTTTCAAAAAATGGACATGAATAAAAGCTGTCTATTTTTCGGTTTTACATATGTGTACTAAGTTTCAGAGTGATCCGTCTGTAAACAGCCAAGATTAAAAACCGCAAGACGCTCCTCTTTAACGAAACTATTAAACTTACCCCTTTGGATCATCCTATACTTTCTTTCGGATGAGCCTTGGGCTGTTTTGCCAAAATTTACTGTTCGTTCGCTCGTTAAATAAAAGATTAAAATTCTTAGATTGTGTAAATTCCTTACAATAAGCTCAACAATTAATTGTGATACTATGTGGTACAACTTATGGTACGTAAAACGTCGTAACTTACGTTATCGTCAGGTCCCACCAACGTTTTGTTTCAGAAAAACATGGCGTGGCAGTGCAAAACTGCCACTTATGGTACCTAAGACGTCGTAACTTACATTATCGCCGGGTCCCACCAAAGTTTTGTTTCGGTAGAACAATAAACACTTAATCGTGATACTATGTGGTACAAATTATGGTACGTAAGACATCGTAACTTACGTTATCGTCGGGTCCCACCAAAGTTTTGTTTCGGTAGAACATCGCGTGGCAGTGCATAACATAAACGGGCTGGTGAGCAGTTGTCCCGAAGATATCATGGATGCAATCGAACGAATCATCTTCACCATCGTCATGTTTGTTCCGAGAACTTACATTGAACGCAAGTTTTTCATCGATGCGATGCTCTTCATCAAGCGTTTCCCCATTTACGGAAGAATCTGGAAGAAAGATCAAGAAAATTCATTGGAAGTTTCAGTTTTAATTATCAGCCAAAGCTTTTTTGGCTTATCAGTTTAGTTTTTGGCTGCTGGGTTCAGTTTCAGTTTAAATGATCAGCCACCAGCTTCTAATAAATGTCATTCGTTATATGCATAAATGAAAAAATCCGGATCAACGGTACTAACGGTATAGGTACACTGCATCCGCCTTTCATGATGCGAAAGCGTCTATATAACGTAGCAATTCAGCTTCGTCAACCCTATAGACACTTTTATTCTCTTTCTGCCAGAATGGTGGAAACGATGATCAACTTTACATGCTGTTCGTCCGGTAAACTGATAAAAATGTCCTTCTGCGTTTCTCCTGTTATATCAGCTCAGGCAGGCAGGTATTTTTCATGAGCTGGTGGCGAGGTGCCACTAGGAAAAACTTGAAATAAAATATATAAAAAAAAATTTTAAAGACCACGTTTCACAATATCTCGAGGAGTTCTTCTCAGTTTAAGAATAAAGGCTAAAATCAAAAAAGTTGCATAAAACATTTTACTGAATAGAAGTCCTAGATAAATAAAATAGAACGTTTCGGGCCATGCCCATCATCAGCTAGTAGAATACATCTGGAAATACATGGAAATCAATTTTAGTACATAAATTTAGAAAATGATAAGGAAAGAAAGGAAAAAAAAAACGGAAAAAACAACTATTGACCTAGAATCGAAAGAGGAAAAGAGCTGGATTGGTTATTCAATTTAGGTTTAAGTTTTTGGATCTAAAGAGATTCTAAAATTCGTAAATCGGTTTGGCTGCTAGCGTTACAAAGAATTTTAAATTGATCGATGGACACGGGAGGAGCAAGTGAGCACTGTTCTGTATGAAGTCTGTTGCGAGTGTTAATTAACTGAGAAAGTCTAGTTGAGATAATCGGCTAGGCTAGAGCAACGCTCCTAAAAGACCAATCTCGCTTAGCCCCTAGGCTGATATAGGAGTGGCTCGAGTGACCACATATTCAAATAGGCGTTGATGGCGAATGAGATAATTATTATGAAGTATGGTCTTATTTTGATTTTCCAATTGTAACTTAATTGGGATTTCAATATAAATTTCATTTAGTTACTCCAAGTAGATTCCAACTTAGTAGTAAATTTCCCTTGCTCAGTTGATGTGTTACCAAATGAGTTAAAGTTGAGAAATATAATAAATTGATACAAATTACCAGAATTTCAGTATAATAATGACATAATTTGAATAGAAACCTTAAATTATAATGTGAAGTGGTAATACTTACAGTTTGATGTATAATTAAATTATGTTTTGAAATGATAGGGAATTATGACCTTTTTCCAGTTCAAAGATGCGAAGAAAATAACCATGCCATATTATGACCCAGTTCATTCATATCTGCGTTCATTTATTGTGTAAATTCATTCATATCTGCGTTGATTCATTATGTATTGAAAATGTTAATTTCAAAATATTTTAATTGATAAATATGAGTCATATTTTTACCATTGTTCAAATGTGAGTTAAGTAGCCAATTAGACAAATTCAAGCGGAGAACTTTAGAAAAGGTAAAATGATAATTCTGAACCTTGGGTTAATTTAGCATCTGAGATTTGAGTTAGCTTAGGATAGATTCAGATAACATGTCACTGTTTTGATAGCATGGCATAGATATTCAGAACCGGAGTCAGAACTTCCTTTATTATTATAAAATAATAATGTATTCTGAATTGTTATCAAAATCGCATTTGGATAGTAAATTTAATTATCGCTCCAATTGATACAGCGTGGATCTTCTATGCGGAGATGTTGATAAATTAACTCCATGCCATGTCCTAATGTCTAACCCCTTGTCCTCAGGTCTCTCTCTCGGATATACTTAATAAACAAGAAGAAAAACCACACGAAGTCTTTATATCCAGCATATAGCAACTAACCGAACCAAATACCATCGGCCTCCGATTTACCTAGACTGCACGATTAGGCATATTAGTCCTCTTATTACGGGTACCTCCAATATACCAAAAATATAGAAGGAGACGAAATAGGTGCTACCGTGCTATACACATAATTTGGTTGTTGGAACTGTGAAATTCCAGATATACTTAACTACATGAAGGAAGATGTTCAGATTTGAAATGCCTAGCACCATATCGAACCCGGAGGAAGTCTAGTAGCTATTTCAAACTATCGTCAGTCTTGAAAAGATCCGGTCAAATGGCACGATTTTAGATCTGTTTGGTTAAAAATAATGTCAGTTTTATTGAGGACTTCTTTTGAGTTTAATCTACCAAGCTTTCTGATAAGAGGTACAGTAATAGGGTCAATTTGTCTTAATATTTGTCCAAATGGGTTAGATAAATCCTGCGACGCGTTTCTCTCATCACTGAGCATCTTCAGGCAACGAGGTCGAGCAGCTGAGTAGACGAGATGCTTGCGGGTTGGCTACAGAAAGGAGACAAATTGAAGTAGTGAACGAAGCTACGAGTAAGGTTCTTATACAGTCGGTTGTACACTTGTTCTAGTTATGAAGTTTCAGAGTGCGTTCGGATCCAGTCGTTTGGTTGTTTAGGTATGGCTTTTTCCGTTGAATTAGAATTGCTTTCATTATTTGTAGTCTGTCGAAATCTGGTTCGTGGCGAAGGATTTTTTGTATTTTGTACCAGTTCTTCCCGGGTTAATTTGGTGTTGTGGTTGTCCAAAGCGTGCGTTTTTAGTCCTCCAGCAACTAAATGCATTGTGAGCCGTCTTGATAGGGTTGTAGTAGTCATGCAATATACGAATTGTTGCGGGGCTCGCACTCCCCGCGGTTACATGTGTATATGACATTTGTTTGTTTCAGGAATCAGGGTTGGTAGTTTCGGGGCTGTGTTGTTCTTTGTGATTAAACTGGTTACGGTAGGGCTTTTGTAGTAGATTATCAGCTGTAATCGGTGGTTGTTGTTTGTGCATGCCACGCTGTTTCCAATCATCTGCTTGAGGATTCGTTCGCCAGTTTTGTATGCAGATGAATATTGATTCTGATAGTAGACATTGTGGACTAGATGCTCGGGGTTTCTTACATCGCTCGTTGGGTTTCCTGTTTTTTGGGTGATTGTTGCGAGGTAATGGCTCAGAATATTGTCAAAGAGTGAATTAGAGTAACCGTTGTTGATGAAGGCATTTTTTTAGTTTCAAGATGCTGTCATGAAATAACTGCCAAGTATGGGATATTTTATAGTTGCGGTGGATTAATGCCTTGATGGTGCTGTCTTTATATCGTTGGGGGCATTCACTGCGCGCGTTGAGGTATATTCCGTTATTGCTGGGCTTTTGGTATACTGAAGTTATGAAGTTATCAGTGGCTTCGATGTTGACATCCAGGAAATTTATTTTATTGCCCGTTCCCATTTCGTGAGTAAACTTCAAAACAGAGTTGGTTTCGAAAAGGTTCTTGAGTATTAGGAGGGATGCAGCGGAGTCATTTATATTTTAGGATGCAGCGGATTCATCATATTTTTAACCAAAGATGTTTAAATGAAGGGCTCTACCCTAAATATACAGATTTTAGATCTGTGAACAAGTCACGAAAAGTAAAAGAATCGGCGACAGCCACATCAGGCCTACTTTTTAGCGCCGACATCGCTATGTTATGTAAGTCTACCAGCGTTCGTTATTTACGATCGTTTACGAGTAATACAGATTTTCACATCTGAACATAAGCGCAAGAATACAAGCCTATAGTTTTTGACTCTGCTCTGAAGACTTTTGAGAAGATTGTTGTTCTTCTAACCATACGAGGTTGAATTTCCTGTGGTCACTTCCAAGTAATCCGCAAGAAATTTTGATGCCGACATAAGAGATGACCTCATAGTTGTTCTTGACTCCCGTGTTATATTTACTTTTGGTTTTGTTCATGTTCGCTCTAATAATAATAATAATTTCGTTATGTATAGTGTTCAACTCGTTGTGTAATAAGGTGGTCGCTTATATTCTTTGCATCTCTTTCATTTCATTTGATAACGAGCTTAACTCGTTCCGCCGAGTTTATTTCATTTGGGCTGATTGGGCACTAAATAAGTTAAAAAGCGAGGAATATATCAGAGGAATTTTCTTCCACCCATGTTTCTCGTTCAAAACGCTCTGACAAAAAAATTTTTTTTTAAATAAGGCCTCCCACACTCACCATTCCAACAAAAAGGAATTAATTTTATTAATTAATCTGACGATCTGACAAAATGTGTAATCTTTATGGTTCAATCTCGCACATCACTGGTGTATATGAAATTCTTAACGCTCACAGATGACCAACATCAGCATTGGCATTTGCCCAGCGATACTGGAGTCATTTATAACTAATTTTTCTATTCTTTTCATGCATCGTCCAATGCCAGATGGATAAATACGTTCAAAACTTTTGAGTTGAATTGAAATCGATCCTCAAATCAAATCATTTCAATACCTCTAGCGATAACCCAAGGTCTGTCTGCGAAACGAATTCACACTCTAACTCAGGCCGCTCCCATGAGGCAGTTAAATCAAGCCTCAGAGGAAATAAGTAGTAAATATCTGGTGTAATGCTTGACACGGTGTAGCTGCGCAGCTCAACAGTCTCTTGTCGACCAGGGTTCCGCTGTTTACTAGGGGAGTGTGCCGATTGTACTCTCTCTCATTCTTTTAGCTTCCAGCATCGGGAGTGGCCACCCGTTATGCGCCTTGTGAAATCACGGATGAAGCTGTCTGTGTTTTCCAAGCGGACAATTATCGTCAGCCGTCAGTGTTTTCCAAGTGGACAATTTCCGTCATCCGTCAGTGTTTTTCAAGTGGACGATTTCCGTCAGCCGTCAGTGTTCGCCTGTCTGGAAAATATTGTAAATCGTTTGTGCCTACTTAATGGAAAATAACGTACAACGTCTGTGTCTACCTAAATAGTGTAAATCGACTGTGTTTACCTGATGGAACATATTTTAAATCGTCTGTGCTTGCTTAGAGGAAGGACATTGTACGCCGTTTGTGTTTACCTAGTGTAGGGGCATTTTTTAAGCCGTTTGTGCTTATCTAGGGTAGGGTAATTTTTACCAGTCTCTGATTATTAACATTGGGGGTTTTCGAACCGTCTGTGTTTACCTAGCGTAGGATATTTCTTAGCCGTTTGTGTTTCTCAGCCGTCTTGGGTTTGCTTAGCGTAGGATATTTCTTAGCCGTCTGTGTGTACCTAGCGTAGGGTATTTTAACTGTCCGTGTTTATAAGTTTGAATATCGTGTGTTCTTTTAGCTTCCGTAATAAAGATTTATAACGTAGATTTTAACTTCATTTTTCTGGCCTTCTACTAGTTTTTGGCGTCGATTTATCCCACTAACCCGTCGGGATAGCAGGTGTATGTTGAGATCTCCCGCAACGTACAGTATAAACGCAACCGACCACATGGACATTCTCGAGCGTGCTGGCAAACGGCCGTGGAAGACGCCACCGAGCCTCTGAACGCATCGCCGCAGCCGTCGCATAGCAGCCGCGCAATAGCCGCTCAGTGCAGCGCTGCTCGAGACACAGCAGAGCTGATTCCAAGCCATCGTTCAATCCTAATACCGCGATGGTCCTTACGACACCACAGTTCAACTGAAGTTATCATGCGGCCGTGGTTGGTCCCGGCACCAATATTTAACTAGGACCTCGTGCTTGTACAAGTTCCGGAATATTACATGGTAGTTTCTATTAGTACTTGGTAACGTTGTGACTCAAATCAATAATAATAAAAGATTTCCGCCTCTCACCTTTTTTATCAGACAAGCGTGGGCCGATGAGATCAGAAGGCGCGGGGTGCCGAGCTGGAGCGTCCTGGGGAGTCAAGATCCTGACGGCGCACTCGTCGTTCCAGAAAAATCGATCAAGGGCCAACGGGCCCAGCATGCCATACAACAGCCTCTGGGGAAGAATACCTTAATTGAAATTCTGCCGAAACAGAAATGGAAGGATGAAAAGAATCTGACACGTATTCTAATTAATGTGGGAACAATCAACAAAAAGAATATATATTCTTTATTCAATAATTATAAGAAGCCGAATTACTATAATTTGTAATTCACTTCATGCTAGTCAATGATTCACCGAAATTTTGTCAGAATGTTCATCTCTGAGCTTCAGCTTCTGCGAAAATTTGATTCGACAATTGTAAGAAGTCTCTGTACTCAAAAGGAAATTAGATTCTTACAATTAAGTTCATAATAAGAAAAGTCTTTTTTTATGTGTTGTAACAGCAACCTTAAACACACTAATGTCCTCTGGTGGCAAATACATGAACGGGAAAATCATGTATTCAACCGATAATGTTGGAATCATGCCATTGGAACCCTGCTCGGTGCTCATAGCTTCTACACAATTAATGTAAAGCTCAGCAGCAGAAAGCACCGCCTGTTCTACTATGTACGCTCACACTCAGCACAGGAGAGAACGTGTCCGAAAGGAGCGTCAAAAACTTCTTCGGCGTCGGATGGTTGCGCTCGAAATGAAACAAAGAATTGCTCGGAAAACGAGCCTTCACGTCCTGCCCAGCAGACAAAACGTTAGGTAATTATTCTCGAAAACGCGTGTTGTTGTCATGTAAGAAAAAGATCTTGCTTTGCATTTATTTATTTTTTTCACGAATTAATGGCAACCCGGAGAGCACAACTGAAAAAAAAAACATTTTATTACTACCAGAGGCACAACAGGGATTAGAAAAAATAAGGGAAACACCTGAGAATTCCACAAAATATATTTCAGGATGTTGTATGTACGTCCACCGTTTGCGGCAGGTACAGCCTCAATTCTCCGACGAATTGATTCATACAAATAGTGAATGGTTTCCAAAGGAATTTAATCCATCTTTCAGTTAAAACTTCCTCCAGCAATTTTAAAGATGATGGCGTGAGAATCGACTTCTGAGTTGCATCTCTAAAATCGACCAAAAATGCTCGATAATATTCAGGTCTGGTAATTGTGGTTGCCGAATGAGCTTTTCAACTTAGAATGAGCTTAGAAACTGGCTTTCCCTTCCAGAAAAAGTGCTTGAACCATTGTATTCCTCAGTTCAGTTAAAACTTCCTCCAGAAATTTCATGGATGATGGCGACGAGAATCGACTTCTGTGTCTCATCTCTAAAATCGACCATAAATACTAGATAATATTCAGGTCTGGTGATTGTGGTTGCCGAATGAGAGGCTCAACTTCATTAGAATGTTCCTCTTGCCATTTTTAACAATTTCAACTGTATGAATTGGGGCATTATCATCTTTGAAGCTGGCTTTCCCTTCCGGAAACAGTGCTTGAACCATTGCGCATGGATGAACTTAATTGGTCCTCGAAAATTCCTGAATAGTCACGGCTGTTGATTTTTCCATGAAGACAGATCATTGATCTGCCGGATTTCCCAGAAATAGCACCCCCCATCATCACAGCTCCCCCGCCATGTTGAACGGTGGGGAGGAGACAGTCGGGATTAAATGACTCTTTTGGCTGTCTCTAAACATGAACTCGGCTAGAGGCTGAAATAAGGTGAACGATGATTCGTCAGAGAAAATAAAATTTTTCCACTGTTCAAGGGACCAATTGATCGAAGTTTTTATCGAGGGTCTTTGTATTTATATTGGTCTCGAATTGGTCGAGGGACCAATTATAGAGGTTTTTACGCCACTCTAAACGCTTTGAACTATTTGTATTTGAAACCAGAGGTTTTCTAATTGCAGCTCTTCCATTGGATCCAGATCTGTGCAGCTCTTGGCGTAGGGCCTTTTTGGAAACTGGGATCTGGAGGTGTCTACTGAGGTCGGCAGTCATTTTAACAGCCGTGGTCTTTCGATTGTCGCTCATAATTCGATTATGGTTCGGACGGTCTCTCTCAGACAACTTTGACTTTCAGCAGACCTGAGCTTTGCAGAGGATGTTTTTCTTGCTCTTTCAAAAGCAGTCTTTACTTTTGAGACAGTACCTTTAGAAACGTCAAGCATTCGGGAAGTTTCTGTCACATTCACTAGCTCCTGGCCTCCTGCCATACGGACACCATCAATTTGGCCTCTTTGAAAGTCGGAGAGGTTTACCATTCATTGGTTATAGGTTAGGTTATAGACACAAAAATTATCTGTGCAAGGATAAAATATCAATTAGCAGCAACAATAATTAATATAACCCAAAAAGTCACGTTTTCATTGTTTATAATATGTTAAAAAATTACGATTTGTAAATGTCAGGTATTTCCCTTAAAATGTCTAAACCCTGTATATATAAAAACGGAGCAATTGAAAAAATCTAATTTACAAATTAATTAGCGGAATACGAACCCAGGCTGATTTTTTGCGGAATTTCCGCTTATTTCTCTATTTTCAATTGCATTTTTACTATAAACTAAAAATTGCCCACTGACCTAGCTGCATTATCTCTCACACTATCTTTTAAATTTTCAAAAAATTTTGCTTCTTTAAGGCAAAATATCTGTGAGGTCGAGTCATGCAAGCATTCTTCTATCGAAGATAATGAATTAATAATCGAATCTGATTGAGTGCACATAGATGAGAAATTATGCTCGTAATTATGCATCTTTTATGGGCTGAAGTAAACAATCTAGAAACGCATTACAGTAAACGACCAGACAAGGAAAACTCACTTGAGATTGGAAGAAATTTTTTGAAGTATTTATGAACGGTCGCAGCGCCAAGTTGTCGGTGTCTGTATACAATCCGCCAGAATTGTAGACAACCGCAAAACGTAGTAAGTCGCTCAGTTGGGTGAACAAGTAAGCTGCGGATCAAATCGTAACTGGTCCACTATAGAGAAGAATGTTTACCAACTATATTGCCTATTTAATTTTTAAAATGAAAACGTGGAAATTTAACGGTACAGATGGATTTATTAGGCAAATAATTAGTAACCAACAATAGATATTTATAGAAAATTTGTCATGAAAATAACAGTTAATGATTAAAATAAATTATGGGCGCAAGGAAAGGTGAACTGTGGTCAACAATTATCAGCTTTTTTACATCGGTATTACTAATAATTTTATAGCATCCACAATGATGTTTTCAAGCTACTTCTGTGTTTAATCAAGAACCGTGCACTCTCGAGCGACCCAAATCGCCTGAGACTCACGAGTGTTCCAGAAGTCTTCGGAGTTGAGGATCGCATGAAAAGCTGTGTTGCGCATGACTGTGCGTACGTTCACGTGCGCCACGCACAGACGAGGACAAATTTTCTGCAGACTCAGCAATCTTTGGGCAGACGAAGCATCGAGCGTCGCGCGCGTCAACAGAAACCAAACGTGAGCGTCCGAGTTTACGGTGCACATGCTGGATGGCAGGAATATTATAGGGGATAAATAAACCGCGAGTTTAGCATCGAAAATGTGATTCTTTAATTTAATGGCGAAAATGAGTGACGGAAATAATAAATAAAATTTTAACATCTCGGACGTGTAACCCCGATTGAATAATATAAAACAACTGCCAAATTTTAGATAAACATTTGAAACTCAATGTGATACGTAGCTACGAATTAACCATATTTCTCAGACAGAATAATCTGTAATGATGTAGAATTGCCTGGAATAATTTCATTCATTTTTATTGTACTAACAATCGACATACCTTTCAATGGAACAAAGAATTTTATGCGTTATTTTCATGTTCATTGACACTTCTATCTGGACATACCTTTCAATGGAACAAAGAATTTTATGCGTTATTTTCATGTTCATTGACACTTCTATCTGGTAGATATTTTGTGCAGATGGATCTGGAGCTATGTCCCTGAAAAAGATATATAATAACATTAATGAATTGAAGTAGAAGAAAAATGTGTGTGGCACAAGTTTTGGGTGCTTTATATAATTGATTATGAGTGTCAACCCGTTTCCTGTCACCTAAAAAACTCATAGCCGTAGTAATATATGAAGTGAATAATAATGAAATTAAACATTAACCTCAAAATGCTAAGATATTTTCAACATAATTTGCGCTCGCGACTTCAGATTGAGTTACGTGTTTGGATTGAGTTACGAGTAACAGTGAACGTGGGAGACGAAATTCAACTATAATAACAAATAGTGAAAAAATAGTAAAAAATAAATCACATTGGTAAAAAATAAACCACCATGAATATTATTCAATACAAAGATCCTAGAAAAAGAGATCATTTGCTTCTACCTAATCTCCACACAATTCACTATAACATCGCTCAACAGGAGAGCTGTCTCTTATACACATCTAGATGTGTATAAGAGACAGGCTCTACACAGGTACATAGCTTGCTAACTGATCCAGAACATTTTACTTGCATTACACAACATCCTGGTCCAGCCAGGTGATCATTTATACACCGGAATGAATAGGATGAATGGCTGAGTTTGCCATGAGCTGAGCTACCCGCAAGAATTTGTCCTTCGTGGGACTATAACCCAGGGTCGCTGGGTGTGCTAGAAAGTCACCACCACTGCACCATATCAGCTTTAAAACTTTTCGTAGTCACTAGTGCATGAAATAATTACTTTTATACATACTACTTATAATTGTTGACTCGTGTACGTCAATTTTATTCCCGATTTGCGGTACGCTGATATATATTGCAAAGAAGTTGTTGGACTTCCATTAATAAAACATTACCTGCTCACGACAATTTCAACCACTAATTAATATAGCTAATTATCAAATTCTTAATATTTGAACTATATAATTATATAATTATAAAATCTGGAAAGTTCTTCGTGCTTGCATAATCCATTCCTTGGTGATATCCACGGGTATTCCAATATTTTCTCTCATGGACAGGGCAAACTAACGAGTACTTCTAAGTTCACTAGCTGAATCACGAATTACGGAAGTCGTGACATAATAAGAACACTTTAATTCTCTATCACTTTCAGGGAAGTTGAACCATTGAGCAATTTGGTCACGAACATATTTCCACCAAACTTAATTTCCGATTAATTTTATCGATATCGAAACTCCCACCTAATTCTCATAATAAATTAATACTAAATGAATTGCAGGTGAAATCTTTAGCCGTTCTTCTTGGCGCTGTACGCCGGTGCGTCGAGGACAGTTCTTCTCAAAACCTTGGTTCCGTAGTCCCATTCCCTAAGACCTGGAAAAGTAAGGTTAATAAAAAATTATTTCGTCATAAATAACAAGTACAGTATGTACGCATCAGTCTTGAATTTCGTTAATTCTATACATGTGGATTGCGATCGTTAATTCTGATTCATCCGTTGTTGGACCATTATGATGCATGTTTCAACCCAGTGCACAAGGAATGACATGGGGATCATTGTCTACCTGTACAGTTTCACAGAAACTTTGAGTGTTCAGCGGTGAAAAATGCAGAGATCGCTTGCTTGATGTTTGGAGATCAATTTCAGCCACTGAATAGTTGGGTCGAACTCGATAGTGGTCCTTACAACGTTATGCTTATTAATTCTAATAAGAGTAGTTATTACAACCTCTGTCTTTTCAACCAAAATCATAAGTTGAACCGTAATCACGAATCAAGTGAGAAAGTTGGTGGCTATCACGAGTATCTCACGAACTAATCTCATTTCTTTCGAGATTTCTCATTTATATTTATTATTTACGTATAAATGAGAGCTTAGCCAGACGGACGATTATATTGCAGCTTGATCAAAATTTAAATTATGTTAACGTGTCCCACCTTTCCTCACAGAGTTGACCCCTCGGCCGATGGCATACGCGCACCAGACGATGAGCGTCAACAGCGACAAAACGAAAGCCAAGCGTCGGCCGGTCATAGACTGGACTTCGTGTGAATAGAAATTGTGGCAGGAAAACGCACGTGCAAGTGCCCTGATGAAATAAAATTTAGCATTATTGAAACTCATTTAATTTAGCACCAGCTCCTTGCTCAAACAAACAAATGCTTGTTGTTTAGCATCTGGTTGCTCCAACAAGTTTATAGAAGCGCAACACGGAGCCTCTGCTTCTACGACTTCAAATTTCAATGATTCAATTATTTTCAGGATAATTTATAATTATAAGCTTAAATTTCAGAGACTTGCTTTCCTCTGAAAGATTTCAAAAATCGGCATTTCGTCTCAGCCAGCCGAGCCAGCAGACATCCCAAATAAAAATTAAAGGTGGCGCATCGATGATTATAGGTGGCGATTTTAGATTATAGGTGGCGTAACGGTGGGTGGTCTCGCCGGCCAAAAATCACCATTGAAACGCTGATAAGTCGAAAGGATGCGCGAGCATAGGTGGCACTCATCGATGAATCATCGATGATTATTTGGGTCCTATTCATCGATGGCTCAGTGCTGTTTTACCACGCGTGGCCATCTATTAATAATTGATCAATAACCACCAATGAAATAGTTCGAAGTTTGAATTATTAAATATTTAAACATCTGTATAAATCGTGAAGAAAAAACTGTGGATATACGAAAGATAATTGCGTAAATGTATAACGCGATGATTCTTTTCTTTAAGACGGCCGTGAGTTTATTTCAATTTTGGTGTTCACATGATTACTACATAAGCTATTCTGCTATTTTATTAAGATATTGCTCTCTACGACGTACTTTATTCCAGAACGAAATTAGAAGCAAAACTCCTTTATTTTGTTTCAGGTACGAAGTTATCATGCCATAAATAAACTGTTCGCTANGCCCAACATCACCGTTCGATAGTTAGGACTGTAAATTCAAAATTTCGTTCGAATCTGTTCAGTACTTTGGAAGAAATTACTTGATCACTGTGAATTTCGGCCCGTATTGCCTTATAACTATGGCAAAAACAAACGATGACAAAATTAAAACAATTTTCACGAGCAAAACATTATCGGCAGATCCAAACGAATAACGCGTGTACCAAATATCATCGAGTTAAGTTCATTAGTTTGAGAGATATTCCTTAATCATTAAATTTGGAATTTGGCCGCGAGTCCGGCCGTTAATTTGTCTGAGACGTAAACCCAGGAGAGGTTAAAAACAGATCTGGGTGTAAAAACCATCGCTGGGAGTCATGTGCTGCACGTGTTGTGTACAAATCGTCAAACAAACGTTCGAACCTCAGACATTGACTTCAGGCTACCGCCCCCCTACCGCCCTCTTCTTCCTTATCGCCCCTCAAAAACTCACCACCGCCCCTAGGGGGGCGATATCGCCCACTTTGGGAACCACTGGCCTATAGTGTAGCAACAATTTCGCCGCTTAATTCCGCTGATTATTCCTTATATTTTTATCTAGTTTTTCTAAACTGATTCTTTGACGGTCCTTCACATCCATTACTACGAAAATTACTTGAATGATGCATTATTACTTCTATAACTAGTATTTTGAAATTTACTCATTTTTACAGCTTGAAATCAATGTAAAATGTTCATTGTATAACATCATTTAAAATTTTAAATAAAGCTAAAGCAGGTTCTCTTTTGACTACTTTCGGCAGTCCCTCGCTTGACTTCAGATTGTAGTTAGTCATGGTGCAACGTGTTGGAAGTGGTGCAACGTTAGTCTCGAGCCGAATCAAATCAAAATTCTCGATAATATCTCAAGTCTACTCATAAATGATAAACTTTTGTGCTGATTTAAGTAATAACTGACTCTTGTGCTATGCTAGTCTTTTAAATTTCTCAAATAGTCAATTGTACTTCGGGACTTGTGGTCTAGTTTGCATGAACGGCGCCGGTATGGCTGATAAAGCCGCCATGCCGGCTGGTGACCCACTTCTGATGTGATTAAATAAACAATTATTGAGCATAGCTTACTTCGAATGCAAAATCGA